GGTTCCCCAAGGCGAGGTTCTGAGTCCGTTATTGTTTCTAGTTTATATAAATGATTTATTCTCAGTTTGTGGCAATGTTCTGCTATTTGCTGCAGACGACTCAAAAATTTTCAGGATAATAAAAAGTGACGAAGATAAAATCATCTTTTTTCAGGATATTATAAAAATGGTTGATTGGTTTAGTAAATGGAAGTTAAATATAAATGTCAAAAAATGCCAAATGTTAAGGTTTGGTTGCAACAATTCAGGTACACCATTCACTATTGTAGACTGCAACGGACTGCCCTTTCGGTTGCCAGAGGTTGAAGAGATATCAGACCTCGCAGTGATGTTCGATGACAAGCTTAGGTTCAAAAGCCATATTTTGAAAATTGTTCATAAAGCTAACTCCATGTTGGGGATTGTTGCCAGAAACTTCAAGAATTTATCAGAAGAAGCTTTTGTTTTGTTGTACAAGTCGTTGATGAGGTCTCAGTTGGAATATGGTGTTCAAGCATGGAAACCTTACAAAATTGGTTTAATGCTAGAAATTGAAAAAATTCAAAAAAGAGCAACACGTTTGGTTAATTCCTGTAGGTCTCTTCCTTATATTAACAGATTAAAGAAATTTAAGCTGCCTTCACTCGCGTACCGTCGTCGCAGGGCGGATCTCATTTTGCTGTTCAGAATGTTACATGGCGAAGTTTCTGTCAAGGTCCAACGATACTATTTTCGTTTGACGATCGTACGAGAGGACACAACTGAAAACTGACTACAAGACCATGTCATAAAAGATTGTCGTAAATTTTGCTTCTCAAACCATGTGGTAGACTACTGAAATAGGCTTCCTTCTGACGCCGTCAACGCTGATAACATTAACATTTTTAAATCATTATTAGATTCATTTTTTGGTGACTTCATATTTGATTGGCGTTTGAATTCATAATTGTTTCTTTTACACTATATACATTCAATAGTTATCATCTTTTACACTATATACATTCAATGGTTATCATCTTAATAGTTCATTGGTTTCAGATTTGTATGCATTTTTTCGGTGGTCTTAATTGTTAATACGATTATTTAATTGTGTTTGTTTTATTTTGTTGTGTTGACTTGTGTATTATTATTTATATATATAAGATAAGTTTATTATGTACATTACCTATTTTATTTATTTATGGTTTATATTTTCGAATTTCTATATTTTGTTTGGCAAGGGGCTCTGTCCGTGCTGTTTTGAATAATAATAAAAATAATATGTAAAAAATTCCACAGATTTACTAGTGTTTATAAACTTGTATTTGAATTTTTCAATTTGTCTTAGTAAATTTTTATCGACTAGATTGAGTCTGTTTAAAATTGAAGCGTCAGTTAATAAAAATAAAGTTTTAATATTTTGAATTCCGTCTAAACTTGGAGCTTTGTAATTTCCTACTATGTCACAAGCTCCCATCAGTTGGCATTTCCTGATAAGCGGGATGTCATCCATTTCACACCGTGTTCTTCTGTAATAGTGGCTGCTTTGTTGTGGAAATAAGGTAGCAACTTTTTTGTTTAAGAGTTGAGGGCAGGTAGGCGACGGTATTGGCTGGTTTTTCAAATGGAACATGACAGCTTTGTTTTCGAGGCATGCTCGCATCGCACACTTTTATAATTCTTTTTATCAAATCTTTTGCCTTTTTTCAGCATCCTGTACGACAATTGGTTCACGATCCAAAACCACTATAAAAGCAATTGTGTCAAAAAATTTACTTTCTATCCATTATCATTTATCCGTGTCTGGGATTTTTTAAAGTTGGAATCAGTGTATACTTCCCAAAACAGTTTGCGGTGGTCGCTCGCAGTGTAAACATCCATAACTTCCCAGGAGTAGTTTTCCCTAACAAGGCAACCACTAACAAAAGTAAGGTTTACCACTGAGTTTGCCTCTCTTCTAGTGAAAGTAGGTTTATCTCCGTTATTTAACAGAACCACATCCAATGTAGCCATGCTTTCTAACAGTGCGTTTCCTCTTGCATTTGTTTCTTTGCTATATCAATCTACCGCCCATGCATTGAGGTTTCCGGCTATAGCAACGGGAGAATATTGATTCAAATCTTGAGTTGGCCGATCAAGAAAGTCCACAAATTTTTCAAATGAGAGACTGCTATAGAAGTAAACATTTTCCACTTTTGCTGCAACAAAACCTGCTTTGGTTTTATTAATTACTTTCTGAAAAAGGAATTTGCCACAGGACCAGATGACTAATTTTGCACTGCTATCCATTTCCCACGGTTGCGTATCTATATGCTTATAAGGCTTCGAAATTATTGCTAGATCTACCTTCAGTTCACGCACAATCTGCATAAACAAATCATACGCGGCCTCGCAATGGTTAAGATTTAGTTGCAATATTTTCATATTTTAGTCTTTTTCCTTTAGTCAATTGAAGTGCCTTTTTATAAACTGAGCATCTACTAGAACCAGTAACAGTGAACATCAACTTTTTCTCAGTGAAGATTAAAATCTCCAGTCAGCACAATTCGAGAACATAAAACCGTTACATTATCCAAAATAAGTGTAAAGTCATTAAAAAATAACTTGGATAGTTGGGCAAAACCTGGTCTCTATATGGCAACTAAAATGAAATCTCTTCGTTCATTAACCAACTTAATTGCCAGAACCTCAAACGTAGTAAATGCAGGCAAGGCCACTTTTTGTACTTGAAGGAAGGGCCAAAAAAATTATTAAACCTCTATGAAAAGAATCATCGACTCTTACAGCATCTACAAAACGATAGCGACGGGGCATATACAAACCCACAGAAAGGCTGTCAGATGATCCATGCCACAATTATGTCTAGATCTTCAGATAACAAACCATAAATAATATTGAATTTCGTTTTAATTGATCTAATATTTAAAAGTGCCAATCTTAAATTGATTTTATTAATATTATCATAAACCTCCACACCACTACCAACAACACCACTAGTACCACGGTTATCACCCTAACCGGCACCGCCAATATCATAATTATTAACATTAACACCACCCATTAAAAAATTATTATTACAACCCGTACTCCATCATCAAAAGTACCACCAGTTATACTGTCGTTATTCTGGTGCTATACTTTAGCACCAGAATTAAAATCACTAACGTCACCCAGACCCATAACAACACCATTACCATAATACGTAACACCATCACAACCAATTTTACCATTAGCCATTAAATTAGAAACACCAAGATCGTTAACACTAACACTATCCATTACGTTAACTTTATCACAATCCAAAGAACTACCACCGTAATTTTTAACATTATCCATTGATTTAGTTACTTCAGGCTCATTGACATTACCACCATTACCAACATTAGCAATATTACTATCTGAGAAGCAACTACCATTAGTTCTACCATTATATTACCACCACCACTTTTACCAATTAATCATTAATTTAGTAAAAACAAAAAACGTTATGTGAAATGTTATAGCTCAATTCCTATACCTACTTTAATGTTCAACCAGGTTGTGCTTATATAATTATTATATCTCAACTTATGAAATTATATAATAATCATATTTAAACCTCAACTCATATACCTATATGACTTAGTTATACCCATGGATAAACCTCAATAGATATAATACACCTCGATATACTCAACCCGTTAAATTTACAAAAATTACATTTCCGTATTGTATTATTTTTTAATTTATGTTAAAATCAAATTTATGTAAGGCCATATATATAGAATATTTCAATATATATATATATATATATATATATATAATGTCATTTATGAGCGCCCTATGCATAGCGTCAGAGGCGCCCGGATAAACAAATGTCAGCACGGCCACCAAAGGCCTGTTCAAACAGATGCTGCTTTAATCGCTTTTAAACGTTTCTTTTGATGATTGTTGACAGATGATGAGTGGCAAACTGTTCCATATTTATTGACGAGAGCTGATGTATTGACTGGTTGATGCAGTTGCAATGATGACGGCAGACGAAAGTGATGGCGATGATTAACAGATGAGCGAAGGCGAATGAGTTTGTGAAGATATGATGGTTGAGATGTGTTGAGTGTTTTATATGTGATGACTGCAATTTTATACTTAATGGGTTGATGAATCAGCAGCCAGTGCAGGTGAGCAAGAGAAGTTGAACTAGAAGATAAACGAGGTAATTCTAAAACAAGTTTGGCTAATTTGTTTTGAATGATCTGAAGAGAGGAAATTAGATACACCGGGGTGCCATATAACAGAGAGTTGCAGTAGACGAGGCGAGATAATACAAGGCAGCGTGCTAGCGTTGAGGCCATTTCGACTGTGAGAAAAGGTCGAATATGGCGAATAGAGCAAATAATGTAATTACATATTTTGATGAGAGCAAAAGTGTGAGCTTTGAAAGTTAGAGACGGATCAAGAGTAATACCTAGAAGTTTAAGACTTGTTGATGCAGACAGGCTTGATTTAGGGTGGAGAACATTTTGTGAGTTGCTGTGGTGTGCCAAAAAACATTATTCAGATTTTTGGGCATTTAGTTCAAGGAAATTAAGTGAATGTCAATCCTTTATTGATGAGACACAAGAGTTAAGTCTATCGGGTTGAAAAGTGATATTTGGGTGGAAGATTTCAGATACTATACTTGTGTCATCAGCATATTGATGAAAGGATAAGCCATAATTGTTAAAGATGTCATATAGGAGACTAGTATAAATAGTGTAGAGCATTGGTCCTGTTGAGGGAATGTTCGATTTAATATTATTTCGCTTCTGTTGTTGGATTAAAAATAGGACAAATTAAAACTTTATTAAACAAACAATAGTAACGATCTCGTACTAACGTAAAAAGGGAAGAGGAAAAGTAAAGCAAAGAAGTAGTAGTAATAATAAATTAAACATAGATATTAATATTTATAATAAAACTAATTAAATATGTTAAATGTTTAAAATAACTGTATATATCTAATCCCCTACAGTCCTAATATAGAGTCCTGAGGAACTCCGGTATATAAGCAAAAAACAGAAGAGTGTGCCAAGTTTAATAAATTGGGGGCGGTTTGAAAGATATGAACTGAACCAGGACAAAGCTGTGTCAGTGATGCCAAACTCCATTTTTAGCCTTTCTAGGAGTATTTGATGATTAATCGTGTCAAAGGCCGCAGATAGGTCCAGACAGATCATTGCAGCACAGCTCAGGCTACCACAAATGTTTGTGAGATTATCATATAAATGGAGAAGTACAGTTTCAATGGAAAATCCAGGACAATAGGCAGACCGAAAAGGTGGAAAATGAATATATAATGCAGACTATTTACTACTGTTTAATTTTGTACTATTACCTTGCATGCTGTAACAGTCTGTCAAGAATAATAAAATATATATATATATATATATATATATATATGTGTGTGTGTGTGTGTGTGTGTGTGTAGGACAAACTTGATTTTTAAATATATTTTGGGAATACGGCTTCATTTTACTAGTAGCTTACGAGTTTGCTATTATTATTTAGTTTGACTTTTAGTTGCACCGGGAGAGTAGCTTATGTGTCAATTTAAACTGTTGACTATAAATAAATATTGCTGGAAAAACCACTTTATGGTCTTGTTTATTTGTCGAATTACGTTAGGGTGATTAGTAGGAATTTTATTATTAAGTTTTATATTTTTTTGGAGTTGTAGCAACTGCTTGTTACAGAAAAAAAGAAAGCGTTGACCCTGACGAAGGTAATCTTAATCGGTAATGTAATGTATACTTAGTAAACTTTATTATGGTGAAGCATACCTACTGGGCGGAGTCAAACATCAAATCGGCTGGTAAAAGTATACTTTTCTGTCTACCATGCATTAAAATATTTTTGGAAAATAGGCTTAAACTTAAAAGTGAACTTAGATTAATCATAATGAAAACTAGAATGCTAAATTTATTTTATAATATAATATAATATTGAAAATGAAAGTAATATACATTTAAATTTTAATTCAGTACATTTAAAAATGAAATAAAATAGCACATTTACAATGGAGATGTTTTTAAAAAGACAGATTCATAGAATGCTAATGTACAAATTATAATGTATATATTATATTAATATATATATCAATATTAATATTAAAAATGAAAGTAATATACATTTAAATTTAATTCAGTACATTTAAAATGAAATAAAATAGCACATTTACAATGGAGATGTTTTTAAAAAGACAGATTCATATTTCCATACTATAAATCTTCGTTTTGCATCCAGAGACCCAGTTCCCCGAGGTAGGATGTTGTTTTCTTTGCCATCAACTTTTTGCGCCAAGTTAGACGATCAGTTGTATTCATTTCATTTAAATTTAGAGCTTTCATGTCTTGCTCGATTGTTTGCGACCAGTATACTTTTCTGTCTATCATGCATGATCAACACTACTGACATACTGAAACAGCTGTAATTGTAATATGCAATTATAGGAAATTATACTTTTATGCATTTTACAGATGCAAGGTAGGGGAATGAAGTCAATTTCATTTATTCAACAAAAATAGTGGAATGAATTTCTGCACCATATAACAACACCGGACGTATCACAGATTTATAAAGTCTTGATCGTAGTAAAAAGCGAGACATGAAAGCTCTAAATTTAAATGAAATAGATACAACTGATCGCCTTATTTGGTGCAAAAAATTGATAGCAAAGAAAACAACGTCCTACCTTGGGAGAACTGGGTCTCTGGACGCTAAACGATAATTGATTGAAGGTAGGGGAATGAAAGTACACTTTTATGTGTCTTTAACATTGGTAGGCATGAAAATATACTTTTATGCTTACAGGTAGTTAGTGTAAAGGTTAATAAACTTTTTGTACAAAAAGTATGCAAAAAATAAAAAATGCACATATTTTTATTATGAAACTAAGTTCATTTTTCATTATATTTACTCGCTAACTCAAAACATGTGACATGTATGGTATGGTAGGCAGAAAAGTATACTTTTTCCAATCAGCTGAACAGTTTGATAAACTAACTACAAATTTTTGGTTTAATAAATTATTTTATTGAAAGTATGGTAAATCAATCAATCAATCTTCGTTTAGCGTTTAGAGACCCAATTCCCCGAGGTAGGACGTTGTTTTCTTTGCCATCAATTTTTTGCACCAAATTAGACGATCAGTTGTATCCATTTCATTTAAATTTTTTTGAACAATCTTACTAATATGATTTCTTATTTATTTATTTTACCATAATTTAAAAGTATGGCAAAATATATAAATAAAAAATCATATTAGTAAGATGGTTCAAAAAGGTCAAATTTAAGTTGAAGCAGAAAAACGTCAAAGTTCAATTGGTAAAGAATTCCACACAGATGGAACAGATAAAAGAAACTTTTTTTTTTACCAGCTTACGTTTTCATCCTCAGTATTAAAAGCATGCTATTGGAAGATGATCGAAGAGATATTCAATAGGACAAAAAATCAACAGACCTACAAGCAGACTTTAAATAATCTGGACAAAAACCATTAATACATTTAAAAGTTAACACTTCAATTTTAAAGGTAATTCTTTGTCTAACTGACAACCAATGAAAAGACTTTAAACTGTCAGAGATATGATCAAATTTTTTAAATCCAAATATTAACCTGACTGCAGTATTTTGAACTAATTAAATTTTGAGCGGATGATCTTCGATTCTAAATCTACTGCCTTGTAGAGCAAAGGCTAGGTGCACTGCTTACAACAGTGATCTCTTGGACACGAAATAAACTGCAACCGCGCTGCCTTGTGTGCTTCCAGCAAAAAGGCTAGGCCCACTGCTTATAACTGGTGGTTGTCGTTAGGAATCGTGCAATTCCAGACATAAAATTTTTTGACCCAAACATCTTCCATGTCGTCACAAAAAAAGAAAAGATCCTCTATTCCCTGGAAGACCTTAAATGGTCAAGGGGTGACAATATCCAGGAAGCACGCAACAGTAGAGGGATGTTGCGGAAAATCAAACGTCCTCTCCTGGAATATCAGACTTGGCACTTTAAATACTGGATTGCTTACTGGACGTTCCATGGAGACTGTCGACATGATGGAAAGGCGAAGGGTTGACATCCGTTCTCTACAAGAAACAAGATGGAAATCAAATGGTGTTGCTCTCATTGGGAGTTACATGTTGTTCTGGAATGGCCAAAAGACAGCCCAAAATGGAGTGGGAATCTTTATACTGGAATCACTGGCATGAAATGTACTGGAGGTAGTTCAAATAAACTCACGCCTAATGCTGATTAAACTCAGAATGGGGAAACATGTCTTGACTGTTATCTCTGCATATGCACCAGAGACCAGTGAATCTGAAGACTCCAAAAATGATTTCTGGAACGTACTCTCGGATGCCGTCAGGAAAACACCATCATCAGAGATACCATTGATGTGTGGCGACCTCACTTTCATGTTGGAGATAAAGCAAATGAGTTCCACGGTATCCGTGGAGGCTTTGGCTACGGATCTCAAAACGAAGACGGTATACGGATTCTGGAATTTGCTGTAAGCCATGAACTCTCCCAGTTGAACGCTTATTTCAAGAAGAGGGCAGAACCTTTGATCACATGTAAAAGTGCCACATGCATACAGAATAATAAAGGCACCATAATAATCTTGCAGAATGAAGTGAAGGATCTCTGGAAGGATTACTTCGGTCAGTTATTGTACGAAACAAACCCTATTGCGGTCGAACCCAGACACAGCAACAGCAGGATTAGGTGCTTTTAACCATTATGCTGTCAAGTCGCCCGACGTCACGTCAAAATTGAAAGGGAACGTGGTTCTTGATGAAAAGGAAGGAGTGAGTTAAATGCTGCAGAAAAATATCATAATCGGCACATTGATAAACCAGGATAAATTTGGCATCATAATCCAGGAAATTGAGTACCTTGGAATGGATGTTGTTGGGACCAGTGGTATCAGGTGATCAGTTTCTGGTTTCTTTGTCAACTGTCAACAAGGAGTTGCACTAATATTAAATAAAAGTACAGCAACTGCAACTGTAGGTTTTTATTTAATAAATAAAAGTATTATGCTAATTAAAATCCAATTGGCACCAACATCGGTGGATGATGAAAAAATTCAAAAAACTTTTACGAATTATGGAGTATGCAATAATATGCCTTAAACGCGAAGAGAAAAACCAGGATTTTAGGAAGCTCAGTGCAGAATTTCAAAGAGTTGCAAGGAAGGACAAAGAAGCAGACTTAGCAATATGTGTAAAGATATCGACGGAAAAATCAAAAAAGGGAAATCGAGAGACATGTACAATAAGATCTTAAAAATGATAACTGGAATTAATACACGGAAAAGGATATAAAAAACGGGAGAAGTGCAGCTCTAACTACGCATGCAATAATAATAATATTAATGTTAATAAAACAATAATAGTAATGTCATTTATAAACATATTTACGAAGTTAAAAATGGGTAGTTAAATTTAAAAAATGTTTTTGATTGCGTAATTGAAGCATGTTCAACGATAAACCGTTGATGATGCTTTGTTATACGAGTAAACTAAAAGCTTCGGTGAAATTTTTATTAATAAATTTTGCAAAAAAATCCAGTTTGTAAAGAATCATAATGCGAGAAACATAATGTTGTTTTTTGTGTAAAAATTGTAGGTTATACTAAAGGTTTTTCAGTGAAAACATTATTAATATTTGCAGTAAAAATCAATAATTTGTTATTAATTAAAATGTTAGTTTTATGGTTACACCTCATACTTATAACACTAACTATTCAGTCATTATTCAAAACTAGCCGTATAGAATATAATCTATAACTTATTTTAATCTTTCAGACTGAAAAACTCATGATAATTAAAAAACAAATAGTCTAACTCGAAAATTATCTACTATATTGATGTTGCTTTATATTAAATAAGGAATTGTTTCTAAAAAATAAATATTATTCTAAATAATTAAAAAAATAATCTTGTTTGAAATAAATTTACAATTCACTGTTCTTAGTAAATTAGGCATTGTTTTAATTTTTTATTATTTTTTATCAAAATTATTTTACAGATTGTTTAATATGGAAAGATTTGAATTAATATTTGAAGGAGAAGTAAATGATGATGTGAAAATTCAAAAATTTAGGTCCAAAAAATCAAAATTATTGCTTGTTGTTGCAAACGTTTATGGACCTTTGTTAAGCGGACATTTTTGTGTTGGTTAGTATTACGGCAACGTTTCAATTTTCATTATATACTAACATTTCAACGACTATCATTTTAATAAACGTTGAATCGCTAACATCTTTTGCTTTTGTTAATAAAAAAGTTGAACCTTTTATTATTTTTATATTTTTCTATATTATATTTCAAAAAAGGCTCAGATAAAAAATTTTAAAATGTTACTGACTTCAAAACTAACTCTGGCTTTCAAACTTTTTTAGTTCTATCTTTTACGTTTCGTATATGCTGTCGAAATGTAATACGAATATAGTAATTTTAACTTTGATTGTTTTTTATTTTGAACTAACAAATCAATCAACACATCTAGCCTATTAGTTTTTAAACTAACTGAAAACATAACTATTTGATTATTATTCAGTAATAAAATGTCTGGATTACACGGTGTATATTAATAGAAATGCGCCACACTAGTCTATTGCCAAAGTGACAGGAGGCAAACGTTCAACCATACAATTATGGAGGCGAATCGTCTTTTGTGCGGCGAAACATCTTGATGGCGAAAATAACAGGAGGTGAAGCGTCCTTCTACCGTCATTTTTCGCCGCACAAAAGCATGTGTGAGAGTAGTGATGGTATATGGTGGTAAAACTTGGGTGTTGAGAAGAGAGGAGGAAAGTGTACTGCAGAGGGCTGAAAGAGCTATGGTGAGGATGATGTGTGGGGTTAAAGTGAAGGATAGGAGGAGTAGTACAGAGCTGATATCGAGGATGGGTAGGGTTAGGATATTGTGACATTGATAAGGAGATCAAGATTGCGGTAGTATGGACACGTGTTGAGAAGGGATGAAAGGGTCGGGGAGCGTTATTAGGCGAGCGTTGGAGTTCGAGGTTGGGTTAGGGTTTTAGACTTAGCACACAATGTGTGCGCTTATTTGTTTGAATACTTATATAATAATATTAATAACGATAAAAATTATAATAAAAATTGTTATTATTATTAACAATTATTGGTAAAAATGGTATGTTAGCAAATTCAATATAATGTTATCAAGGTTCGTTTAGGTTTTAGCAGTGTCCTGGGCATGACATGAAACTGCATGAGCGTGCTTTTGAGCAAAAGGATAGGCCCACCGCATATAACTGGTGGTTGTCGTCAGGATGGGTGTCCGGATGTAAAAACTTTTCCTCAAATTATTCCTATGCCATCACAAAGAAAAACAACGGCCCCTAGTCCCCAACAGGCCTTAAGTGGTACCACGGGGTACCAAGAATCCCTGGGAAGTATTCAATAGCGGAGGGATGTTGCAGAAAAATTCAGAATGGCTTCTCTATGGTACTTAGACTTGGAACGCTCAATGTTGGATCACTGACTGGCCGCAGCATGGAAATCGCAGAAATGCTTGAGCGTAGAAGGATTGATATCTGCTTCCTTCAGGAAACCCGATGGAAATCGAATGGTGTTTGTCATGTCAACCAGACAAAGAAAAATATAAACTATTCTGGAATGGTCAAAAGACGGCCGAAAATGGTGTTGGAATTTTTGTCAGAGAACCGCTAACCCAAGATGTACTGGGTATTAAAAGGATTAATTCACGTCTCATGTGGATCAAGCTTCGCCTAGAAAAGCGAACAATGATTATTTTTTCTCCATACGCACATCAGAAGAAATAAAAAATGACTTCTGGGCTGCATTCTCTGACACCATCTCAACAATACCAAAATCTGAAACAATCCTGATTGGAAGCGATCTCAATGGCCACGTTAGAGAGAAAACAGATGGTTTTGACAACGAACATGGCGGTTTTGACTATGGAGAACGGAATGAAGATGGCAACCGCATCCTTGAGTTTGCTGAAAGTCACGGTTTTGTTTACTGAACACATATTTTAGAAAGAGGTTGGAACATCTCATAACATACAAAAGTGGACCATCAGCCACGCAAATTGATTTCTTCGCTGTCAAGCAACAACACCGAAAGCTATTCAAAAATGTCAAAGTTATACCTGGTGAATCATGTGTCGCCCAACATTGACTCCTTGTGGCAGACCTGGTTGTCGAACTGTCAAAACATAAGTCTAAACAAATGCCTCGGAGAATCAAAACGTGGAAGCTGAAAAGCAATAATCATCGAGAAAATTAAACGCTGCAACTACAGTTTGTGGGAAAACTGGTACAAAACAAACGGGACACTTGGTGGTGGAATGACAGTGTACAAAATGCAATAGCTGAAAAGAAAGCTGCTTACAAGCAATGGCAAAAATCAAGTCTGTTGATTACCATAAAATTTTCCGAGAGAAGAACAACTATGCTTGGACAGATCAGTACAGAGAGTTGCTCACTAAAAGCAAAAGTGAACAAATAAAATCTCTGTATCGTATAGCAAAATAAGCAAAGCGTACGAAAAAAGACAGTTGGTGCCTCATGTATCAAAAACGACAAAAATGAGGGTTCTTGAACAAGCTACAGTGGAGAGAATACTTCAACCGGCACTGAAAAAGTTGGAAGGCACGTTCAAATGTAAGAAATGTGCGTCGTGCTGGTTTAGATGATATAGAGGACGAATACCGGCAACACCGTCTGCGGTGGTTTGGTCATGTCAAACGAAGTGGAAACGGTGCCCTAACTTCTCTTGAGATGTTGAAGTACCTGGCCGTCCAAAGGAGTCCTGGTCCCAAACAATCGGGCAAGACAGCTCTAAATTTAAATGAAATGGATACAACTGATCGTCTAATTTGGCGCAAAAAGTTGATGGCAAAGAAAACAACGTCTTACCCCGGAAAACTGGGTCTCTGGACGCTAAACAAAGATTGATAACAATTATTATTATTGTTAACAATTATTGGTAAAAATGGTATGTTAGCAAACTCAATATAATGTGAGCAAGGTTCGTTTAGGTTTAGTTTATTATTATTATCATCATTACTATTAAAATCGTTACATTATTTTCTGAAAATTTTTATATACTCAATTAATTTTTACAATCGCCATCGTTAACGTCATAATTGCCATCATCATAATTATCATAATCATTATCATCATCATTGTTATTAAACTATTACTTAATGTTTACTATAACCATCATTATTCGTATTTGCATCATTTCACTCGTCATAACAATTATTAAACTAATTACCATAATCAACATTATAATTTCCGTCTTCATAATCATTACCATCAATCATCATGATCATTTTCATTATCGTTGTTAGTTATTATACTGTTGCCCAATTTTCACTATCGCCATAAACAATATCATAAGTATCATCATATCATCATAATATTTTTTAAGTAGGTAATCTTTTTTTTATTATTATCCTGGTATATGATATTGGAGCAAACACTTTGCTGAGTGTGGTTGATGAATGAGAATATTTTTATTTAGATAATTAACTTTTTGATTTTTTTTTATGTTTAAGGTGAAAAAGACATTTAATTTATGTAATTTTCATCGATGTGGGCTCAGGAACATTAATGTTTTGCCCATTTTTTTTGTTCTTGATAATAAATCATTACCGTTATTGTAAATATTGATATATCATCATTATTACTTATTCATTAAATACCATCATCATAATTATCATCATCACACCCACACAAGCACTTAAACAATTATAAACTATCTCACAAATACATATACGTTTAAACATATACATATAGACATAAACAAGTACACAAACCAAGATAGACAAGAATCAGTAATATTACAAGAAAGATCTAGCAGCTTCAAGAGAATATTATGATCAACAGTATCAAAAGTAGAGGAAAAGTCAAGAGCAAGAAGAAGAGTAAGATAACTATGATTACTATTGTCACTAGAGAGAAGGATATTATTATGTATTTTGAGTAAAGAAGTGTCAGTACTGTGAGTAGGTCTGAAACCAGATTGAGGTACAGGTAGCAAGGAGTTAATCTAAATGACGGCTTAGGGCTTTTGTCCTCAATATGTTTCCAGTCAATATCATGTATTGGACAGGGTTCTAAGGCTGGATTATGTCCTTTAATCTGCTACATCAAGCCCAAATATTTCTTGATCTTTTGTGGGTGAACTGACCCGTGATTATGAAAATCTGAAAAGTGATTTTCGTTCACAAACGGACAGGCCACAACTCAATGAAGAAACTGTGGGATGGCGAGATGACATGAAGTTTCTTAACCACCTATGTCATGTCTTCAATTGCTATGAAAGGCATCAAATTTTTTCCTCAATTCGATTCCACGCACTTCCAAAAATTAGCAATGCCCGTTGGAATTTTCGTGCCATTTTAGCACTCCTTGCATTTATATTACTTTCTCAAATACGTACAAGCGAGTTTGAAAATTTATGGGCATTCATAGTAGGTCCTTGGTGCCGCTCTTGGTTCTCTGATCAAAAGGATTGGCAATCATGTGTTGAAGCCACGATTACAACAATATCCCAAAGCATTACAATGCTTTGAAAGACATTGGGTAACATCAGATTCAGTTATTGATGGAATTCAAAAGAACTATCAGTGCTATTCAAATTATGGAGGAGATGATTCCAAGGTGTAATTCGGCTAAGAAGTTGAGCGACAGGTTTATTTTGAGTAACAATAAATTTCCTTGACTCTTAGAACTTATGAACAATTGACTTTGTTTCCTTAAACAGCATTTGTCTTGAAATAAATATGTTTTGCTAGAAATTTTTTATGCATTTTTTCTAATAAGGCTCGGTAGAAAAATGGTTTGTTGGGGAACTTTTTTTCTTGTTGACATCTGAAATGAACAAATTTGTAAATCTGGTGCTAAAACTCATCTTTTCCAGCTATGCCAATATGGGATTAGCAAAAAGTCATAACCCTAGAACTATATTAATAGCGAACAGTTATTTAACGTTGAAAATGATTGGAAGATATTTAAGGATAAACCATGTGCTAGCATAGATCAATTTATATCAAGAAAAACGAAAAAAATTAATTTCAAACTTAAGATGGCGGATGATAATAAAAAATAATAAAACATAAACATATAATTTGGAGATCAATATACAGATACGTGAAAACAAAATTCAAGAATTTCGATTTTTTATTAGCTATTAAGCTAATGAAACTGCAGTCTAAGAAAAAATCGCCCGGGGTTAAAAAACCAATTTTAAGCTCAAATGGAATTTTCAGATACAGTGAAAACAAAATTCAAAAATATCGGATAACTAGAGATAAAATAAAAAGGGCTACTATATTAATAAAATTAGTTTCAAGAAAAAATCGCCAGGGATTATAAAACCAATCCTAACATCTTCTGGAATCATGTCAAAAAGAAGGCGTGGACCAATTATCAGTTAATGGAAGAGTTATACAGATGCCAAGACGAAAGCCGAAGAGTTTGCAAGCTTCTTTTCTGTTTACGACGAGGGTACAATGTTTGATAACAAAGTCTGTTTCAGCTCTAGGGATTTTGCTTTTTCATTGAATGATGCATGATACTTGCAAAATTCGAAAAACTAGAATTCAGAATTTTACATGGTGATGTTTCCGCCCATGCTAGTCCAGCGTTATTATTTTTTCATATATTCGAACAAGAAGTCATTGCTGGAAACTAGCTACAGGAACATGTCACAAAGATAGCCGCAAATTTTGTTTTTCAAATCGAAGGATGAATGACTCGAATAAATTACCTTCCGTCGCAGTTAATGTAATTATCTTTAATGTTTTTAATGGCAACAATCTTGGAAGATAGGATAAGAGTTGATAAATTTGTTACTGTTTTCGAAAAAAATTAATTCAAAGCCAGATCAAACACCGAAATAGAAAATCGTAGATGCGCTAAAAATCTAGTTAAAAGTTGGCAAAAGTAGCATTTAATTTTACGTAAACAATTAATATGTACACATTTTTGCTCAAAAACCTTCAGCAAATAAATTAATCATGTTATTGTATTTTCATGATGATCGCTGCTCGGAAAATATGAGAAAAATCTGACTATATATATGCAAACCTTTAAACTATTCGCCGCACGTGTTTATGTGTATATACTCATGTGTTTGAGTTTATGTGTTTGTTTATTTGTCTGTGCGTCATTTAGGAATGCCAAAAGTTTCGCCTCTCTGACTTTTCGCCCTCAAGGCGATTCGCCATCATCTTTACTGTTCGGGAATGGCTTTTTAATTCCAATTCCCTTCTATTCCCATCAAAGCATTCCCGTTTTCCTCTCATTTGCCATGAATTTCACCAACCAATTTCCATTTCCCTCCCATTCCCAAAAAGACATTCCAATTTCCTTCACATTCTCTCCCACTCAATAACACTTTCTTACTTTAAAAATGTACACAAGACCAAAATGAGCAATCAAAATTTTTTTTATCAAAAATATGTTATAACCAAACAATTAAATGTTGCTATTATTCACTGATTCCCTTTGAGCGTTTTTAATCCATTGTAAATCACCCAGAGAAAAAGCAAAATTTTTTAAAACTCGTTTTAGTAGAGCAACTTACATCGGAAACCATAAATTCAGTCACCGAATCGTTGCTGTTTCCAAGCTGAGAATAATATTTTATATTTTTAACAAACTCCTGTAAGGAAATCACCAGATCTAGTATGTTAGCTGATTAACTAATTCTAAACCTTGTTGTATCAAAAATTTATCTTTGATAATATAAAAATATGTTTTCAAATTTTTCATTACTCCCTCTTTCAATTTATTTTAAATAAATTAAAATACCAATCAACAGAAAACCTTTCATTGCCTATACATCTTTCACTAATGTCAACAAATTATTATTATTTTTTGCACTAGATGTAGGGCTTCTATAAATAAACTAAATGTTCCAAAACCTGTTTGAAATGCAGCAAATTTTTAATGTCAAATACTTCTTAATGGATTAGGTAATAACAATTTCTGAAACTTGTAAAGTCGTCTTATAATTTATTAAAAGACCATTATATCAGAAAATCTATCTATCATTGCTGGAATTTTTAGGATTGACTTCCATTAAAGCAATTAAATCAGGTGAAGACTTCAGACATCCCAATAACGACTGTAGACCCACAAACTTATTTGATAATGTATCAACGTTGATAATTAAATTTATGCATTCCTATTACTTAAATTTGTTGCACTTTTAAATTTTGCCTCTTAAAAGCAACCACATGAAAATCTCATGGTTTTCCTTCAAGCATGAGTGACATATCTTATTTCCTTTGTTTTTTCATCCAGATGTTTATTATTGCTGTTTCTATCTCTCTTAGACAAATTAATAATTTTACAGATTTCTTTGAACAGTTAGCAAGCAGGAAGATTTTGGTATTTTGATTTGGTAACTAAATAAAAAAAAACTGAGTTTTTCATCGTTATTTAGTTTTTGTACATAGTCTTGAAACTTCAATACTTTTTGTATCTAAATCCAAATCAGATACTAAACTTTACTAAATTTATAACTGCATTTCTGGTTGACTCCCTTTTCTCTCAAATTATATTGTTATAACCGACCCCTTGAAAATTCAAGGGGTCGGTAGGGTTATTTCTCTACGTGGATTCTTGACTCCTGAACAGACTTATTTAAGATGAACTTTATCAGAAAGAAAACAGTGCTGGCAATCGCTTGTGTGCATTGCTGTGATCAATCACTCGTTTATTCAATCGTTAAAATCGTTAGAATACTGCACAATAACTAATCGACAGGTAAATCACAGAATAAAACCAATCGTTAATAATTAAGCTTCTTGTCAGATGTTTCTTGGCCGTAAATCCAAGTTTTATTCAAGTTTTATTTGTTTCTCGGAAGATTATCGTAATTCACTTGTAGAATTCTTCGTGATAAACTTTTCCACGGACGTTATCGCTAATTTGCTTAATATATATATATATATATATATATATTAATATATATATATATATTAATATATATATATATTTGCGATAATAGAACTTTTCTTCTGCTTGAAACTTCTTCTGACCTCTTTTTAATTCTCGTTCTTCTTTTCTTCGTGCTTTCACCACGGGTGTCGTTTATATAGCTACCGATCTTCTTGTAAATGTCACCTGCCGTGTCACGTCCATGAATGAATTTTACAACCATTTTTATTTTTTACAAATTCTTATAATTTCTCAATGATTGCTTAACAATTTCTAACTATTAGTTTTTTTTCTCAATCTCACGTCTGTTACATTGCCCCCATCGAGACCAAAAATCGTCCTCGATTTGGTCAATTCCCTTCGTTGTGTTGATCTTCCGGTTCTGAGTAGGGGCTATCCGATCCAGGTGGTGACTTGGCTCGACCCTTTCCAATCCTTCCACTTATCTTCTGCAGGTATTCAACATAATCAGCTGAAGGCCATCAGTTTGTGCGCTCTGTTCATCAGTGTACTTATTCTTCACTTTCGAGTCGTTTTTCGGCTCTTCAATTTCATCTTGAAGTTCATTCAATCTATTTCGACTTTTATTTTCAAACTTTTCTAACGATATGGTGAAATTACCTTGGGACTGTTTCTCTTTTTCTTCCTTGGAACTCTCTGGGCATTTGCTTCACTCTTATGTCATCTTCATTTTCCCGTTCTTTCGTCTGTTTCATCTGTCTTTTAATTTCTTTAAGTTCCTCTTGAGAATATTTCCGTCTGTTGTTACTTCATCTTTTTCAAATCTTTCTAGCCTATCTTTGTTCACTTTTTCGTCATTGGAATCATTTGATTTTGTGAGTTCATTCAACTAGTTCTTTTCGTCAGTCTATCAGCCGGTTACTTTCCAATCGTCATCATGATTGATGTAACCTGTATCATTGTTGTCATCATTTTCCTCTTCATCAACGTGATGTTACCTTTCTGCATCGCAGTCAACATGTGCATCATGTGTTATCACGTGCATCATGGTTTTCACGTGCATCGCAGACACCACGTGCATTGCAGTTAACATTAGTGTCGTAGTTGTCACGTGCATCACAGTTTACACGTGCTTCCCGATATCACGTGCGTCGCAGTCGACATTATCATTAGATTAATTTCCGACTCTTGACTCTTGTGTAGTCGTTTGTGGTAGAATTTAACTAATCGACATGTAAATCACGGAATAAAACTAATCGTCAATAATTAAGCTTCTCTTGTTAAATGTTTCTTGGCCGTAAATTCTCAGTATTCTCTTCTCGGAAGATTATCGTAATTCACTCGCAGACCGCGTGTAGAATTTTTCGTGATAAACTTTCCTCGGACGTTATCGCTAATTTGCTTGCAGCACGCGCACAAAATATCTCTGCGATAATAGGACTCTACTTCTGCTTGAAACTTCTTCTGACCTCTTCTTAATTCTCGTCCTTTTCTTCGTGTTTTCTCCCTGTGTGTCGTTTATATTGCTCTCGATTTGGTTGTAAATGTGTCTCAAGCCATGTCACGTCCATAAAATGAATTTTACAACCATTTTAATTACATTCTAATAAATTTACAAGTGGTTCATTTCTCAGTGTATGCTTACTTAACAATTTCGAACTATTAATTTTTATCTCGATCTCACGTATGTAACAATATAAAATAACATTGTTTCTCCTCTTTTCTCAGTCATTATGAGATACTATTTTAGATTAGTTTTCAACTATTGATTTCTGCATCTGTATAATATATGATGACAATATATTTATCAACCTCAGAACATTGTTTTATTTCTTTTTCACTCTGTTCAACCTTTGAATTAATAATTTTTTCATTTTCTTCTAGCATCTTCATGGATGTAAGAGAGAAGTTAAGACTTTATTCTTGAATTCATTCAAACTGCTATCCTGAAGGCCAATGGCATCTTCCAGAGACTTAAATTTTTTTTGTTATTTAAAAATCAGGATCTAACACGCTGAAATTGTTACAGCATGCAAGGCAGTAGTATAATGTTTAAACATGAAAAGTAAAGTAAAATAGAATTAAATGAATAATAAATAACAATAATAAAAAGAAAATAAAACAAATTGACAATAAAATGAAGTAAATGCAATATGATGACAATATATTTATCAACCTCAGAACATTGCAAACCAATGGACTAGATGATGACTTAGTGGGTTAGCGAGGTGATCGATAAATAAAAACTAGTTGTGTGAATGATAAAGTTTTATTGAGTGTGTATTTGCTTGAGGTTTTTGTAATGAATGTCTTTCACTGGTATGTAGATTGGGTGGCGACTAGATAGCTATGCTTGCGTTGACCAAGGTTGTGTGTTGTAGTTTTTATTTGTGGAAGTAGAGGATGGATGACGTGGTTGTTGTTATTTTTTACTTTCTTAAACTGAACTGTCTTGAATCGAGTGTGTTGAATATCTGAGTGACGATAGGATGTGATGCAGGTAAATAGTTGAAGCCAATTAGTTTCTTGAGGAGAGATTGTAGTTGCTGAAGTTGTTATGTAGCAAAACAAGACCAAGAGGGAGCTGCATATTTGATGCGTGAAATTATGAATGATTCAGTGATATCGAATAATTCGATGCCTCGAAGACCATGTGAGCTGAGTGTTTTGAGTGCGTGAAATGTTTGAAAGCTTTTTGTGATGATGTTATTGATATGAGGTACTATATTAAGTGTGGAGATGAATGTGATTGCCTAATGTTTTTAATTAACTTGTGCGAGTGATTGATGGGTGTTCAGGAGGTAATGTTATTTTCTTACGCCTATTGTTATCGATAAGTTTGAATCATTTATTGAAATAAAGTGACAGATTGCATCGTTTTCTAATTGTATGGTTTTTGAGTTAGATAATGGGATGATAAGGTAGGTGTCGTCAGCGTATTTGATGATTTGATTAGAGCTATGAAAAGTTTTGAGAATAGAAGCATTGATGATAAAGGATCTTGAACTACGCTAAAATTAACAGGTAGAGTAGATGAAAGAGTAGAGCTAAAGAAAGTAGAATGACTCCTATTAGAAAGAAATTTTTTTATTATATTGTAAGTGTTGTCAGTGAAATTTGAAAGTGAGAAGCGATTGAGAGTTTCAAAAGCTTTAGAAAAGTCGACAGTAATAAGATGAACATAATTATTATTTTTATAAGATGTTATTGTAGAAGTAAGAGAGATGATGGCGGATGTAGATGAACCTGTAGGGTGAAATGACAACTGATCTTGTAACAGTGGTTTGATGGATGGATGGTTGAAACATGGATAGATGAATGACAATAAATTAGCATTAATACTTTCCAAATGAACAGTCTCGGCAGACTCCGATTTTTCCTTAAACATAAATTGGTTGAGTCTAGCTTTGTTGCAATGTAGACAATTTTTGCACAACAATATTTGTCTGCAGCTTCTTTGGCTGAAAAACACTGTGATAAACACTTTGGCCATTGCATGCATAACAAAAATGCAACTACTTAAAATACTGTTACAATCAAATTTTTACTTATATGAAAAGAAAATTAATAAAATTAAGAATCAAAACATAGAACATATCAACAATGTATTGATTTTTTAAGCTACCGAAACATTCAATGATGATGGATTGCCGCACATATTGGAACACGTATTGTTTCTTGGCAGTGAAAAATATCCTTTCAAGGTATAAATTACTTCTATCTAACTTCTAATAACGTTAAATTTTTTCAAATAAAGCATTTAGAGATCTGCATAATTTGTGTGAATTTTTTTTTCAAGATAAATCTACTTTTTTTAATGTTTTGTAATGATTACTGTTGCTGATATTTTTCAACAATACTATATTAGGTCGGGTGGTGAGATGGTTATGGCGCCTGGTTTTGTAACTAAGTTCTAAGGCAAAGAGATTATTGACTATCACGTATTCACTTCTAAAAAAAAATAAATAGAGAATTGTTAATATTTATAATGTTTGTAAAAAAAAAATAATAAAAAGAATAGAGATGGAAATTGAACCCTTTTTTATTCAATTCGGATTCGGTTCGAATCGACGGATTTGACCATGAGTAGCGTTCGGGTTCGATTTGGTTCTACCACTAATACAGTTTTAGTTCGGTTCGATTTCATAAAACTACTCAATAACAAAACTTAGATCGGTATTTTGAACTTAAAAATTCAATATCGATGTATTGATATCATTAATATCAATGATGGAGAATATGTACGCAACAAACTGTCAGCCTGCGCTAACTGGATATTGCCAGAAGGGGTAGGTGCTGTTGCTGGCAGAGTTGACTTATGCTTTTTTAATTTTACAATTAACAAATATTTACAATTCAAGTGTTTACTAATAATTTTTATAATTTGGTTAAATCATCACGGGTTCAAACTTTAAAACAAATTAGTAATTTTTAGACTCCAACTGCTTTTCAATCATTAATTGTCAAAAAACATTTTTGGGTGGCTTTAAGTGTTAATTTGAAACTTTTAAATTATTTAACATTTCTAACATAAACCCAAGATTGGTTTACTTATCTATCAATTTATATGAAAAAGCAGTGTCTTTAGCGACCAAAAAACGTGGGAAATTAAACATCGTATCAAATCTCCGATATCAACAACCTTTGAAACTTTACCTAACGACCTCAGCCAGTGAGCATGCTCATAATTTTTGATAAAAGACTAGAGGTTCATTTTTGTGCATTCTTCTTCTAATGGAATGTTTTCATTTCACGTACAGAGAAATTTCCAAGTCACTTCAAAAACGTACTTACCAGCTTTAGTGTTTCCTAGATTCACACTTGATTTTTCTTTCCCCATAAAACTCCACATCATTGTTGTCAAAATAAACAAAAACTTATTGACATAATTTTTTCTTATCTAACTTGTGATCTCCAATTTTTTCATCTGGATTAGTGTGAAGCTTTAACAACTGAAATATTTTATAGTTATCTGTATTCATTCAGTCTGTTTAATATATAATTAAATAGTTTTCGGCTTTACGCTTTATATGTTCAATAACTCAAGGTTTGTTAATTGACACAAAATAATAATTGTCAACAAGTTATTAACAAACTAACTTTTATTATTTATAAATCAACTTAATAGAGTTATTTACACCAACTCACATTCTGCTGTATAACGGCATGTCTCCAATTCAATGAATTATTTGGTGAAATTATTTTCTTATTCTAATATGGTCCTGGGCATGACATAAAACTGGTTATAACTGGTGGTTGTCGTCAGGATGGGTGTCCGGATGTAAAAACTTTTCCTCAAATTATTCCTATGCCATCACAAAGAAAAACAACGGCCCCTAGTCCCCAACAGGCCTTAAGTGGTACCACGGGGTACCAAGAATCCCTGGGAAGTATTCAATAGCGGAGGGATGTTGCAGAAAAATTCAGAATGGCTTCTCTATGGTACTTAGACTTGGAACGCTCAATGTTGGATCACTGACTGGCCGCAGCATGGAAATCGCAGAAATGCTCGAGTGTAAAAAGATTGACATTTGCTGCCTTCAAGAAACCTGATGGAAATCTAATGGTGTCTGTCATGTCAACTCAGACAAAGAAAATTATAAACTATTCTGGAATGGTCGAAAGACGGCCAAAAATGGTGTTGGAATTTTTGTCAGAGAACCGCTAACCCAAGAAGTACTGGATATTAAAAGGATTAATTCACGTTTCATGTGGATCAAGCTTCGCATAGAAAAGCAAACATGATTATTTTTTCACATCAGAAGAAATAAAAAATGACTTCTGGGCTGCATTCTCTGACACCATCTCAACAATACCAAAATCTGAAACAATCCTGATTGGAAGCGATCTCAATGGCCACGTTAGAGAGAAAACAGATGGTTTTGACTACGTACATGGCGGTTTTGGCTATGGAGAACGGAATGAAGATGGCAACAGCATCCTTGAGTTTGCTGAAAGTCACGGGTTTTGTTTACTGAACACATATTTTAGAAAGAGGTTGGAACATCTCATAACATACAAAAGTGGGCCATCAGCCACGGAAATTGATTTCTTCGCTGTCAAGCAACCACACCGAAGGCTATTCAAAAACGTCAAAAACCTGGCGAATCATGTGTGGCCCAACATAGACTCCTTGTGGCAGACCTGGTTGTCGAACTGTCAAATTATAAGTCTAAACAAATGCTTCGAAGAATCAAAACGTGGAAGCTGAAAAGCAATATTCATCCAGAAAAATTTCAACAGATTGTCGCCACACAGTTAGACCACCAATCGAAAGTCAGTACAGATTGGAGTACATACATCGAAAGCCAGTACAAATTGGAGTACATACAGAATCGTTTTGATAAACGCTGCAACTACAGTTTGTGGGAAAACTATTACAAAACGTCAGCATGAACGGGACACTTGGTGGTGGAATGACAGGGTACAAAATGCAATAGCTGAAAAGAAAGTTGCATATAAGCAATGGCAAAAATCAAAGTCTGTTGATGACCATTAAATTTTCGTGAGAAGAACAACTATACAAGACGTCAAGTTGCACTGGCTCGGACAGATCAGTGAGTGGCTCACTAAAAGCAAAGGTGAACAAATTAAATCTCTGTATCGTATAGCAAAACGAGCAAAGCGTACGAAAAAAGACATAGTTGGTTCCTCATGTATCATAGTTGGTGCCTGATGATATCGTTTTAAGAGCCACGTCTGAGCAGAATGCAGCACAGATGTTTGAAAATTGAAACACCAGACTCGCCGATCATGGATTCAAAGTCAACATCAGCAAAACCAAAACAATGAACACTGGTGAATC